ATCCCCGAAACTGTGACTGCCGACCCAGAGAAATTGCCAAAAGATTACGGCAGCAGAAGGAGAGTGTCATGGGCATTGCACGCCACATTAATTTGGGTGAGAAAGAATATTTTTTACTACGTATGGATTTGACTGTAGCCCGCAGAAAGGGGAAACAAATGAAAACGTGGCTGCTTGGAATGGCCTTCACGAAAGGCGACATAATTTCTATCTTGAAGATGATAGAATCGAGAGATGGATTTTCTCTGTATGATGACATTGTCCAGGTTAACTCTGCACGGCATTTCCAAGGAAATAATCGAGCGTCTCCGACAACTATTGCCTGGTTTCTTTGCTCCTAGAAGACAAACTGCCACTGTGAAAGTTGAGATGAATGCAGAGTTAGCTATTCTTCATCTTAAGCACAGAGGTAGTGTTGCATCTTGTTTCAAACTTATGTACTGATTGGAAGGTTGAGTATTGAGAGGACACGCTAGAACAATTTCGTGTCGCAAATAAAAATATGCTAAGCCTGTAAAACAACGCAGGATAATAAAAGCATGCGTATAAATGGAAAAAATATGCCAAGGGATACGACCCGACATGCATTAGTGAATTCAAACAATACTACTTATTAATTCCCCACTTGACTGATCGTGTTCATGTACGGTGGTATTGTTTGATAAAAAATAATAAATTAATAAATAGGAGTGGGTTTCGGTTCGGTAATTTAAAACTCACGCTTTCTTTAATAGAAACCCTTAGGCCTATTTCGTGGGATGGACTGTGTACAAACATAAGGATAACAAAAGAAAAATGCTGAAATTAAAATTTCATTAAATACATTTCGATGGAACGTTGCATATCAGTACGCATGCAACAACTGAATTACAAGCTAAGGTGTGAGAAACGTTGAAAAGAGAGCATAAATGAATATTGCTGTCACTGTTCAATGATTTTGTCATTTAGCAGTTCAAGCATGGTCATCAAAAGAACGGACTTTTAAGACCAAAACACAACGGGGATGTTAGCGCAAGTGCAACTATTGCTGGATAGTTTTCGCATGTCATTTACATGAAATGTCACAACTGTGCTACCAAGTCTGAAAATTTCCTGTTTCGTGTATCTGGAGAGTTGTTTCATTCATTTTGAATTTGAAAGATCACAAATAATTTAACAATGTTGACCGTGATAGAAAAATCAGCTGAACTCTATGTCAAACAAG